AGTACAATCAAGTGCTCGGGAATTCCCATTCTTCTCAATGTTATCCATAATTTGTCATGATCCACACAATCAAATGCCTTTGCATAGTCACCACTTTAGGAGATAGCATATGATCAAGGACCAATGGTGTTGAAGGAAGAAGTCCAAACTTATTGAAGAAATTGGCAAAAACAAGACTCCAGGAATTGACAGAATACCCGTTAAGATGTTTCAACAAATGGATACAGTGCTGGAGGCACTTATTTATGCCAAGAAAAGAGGAAGACAGCTATCTGGCCAACTGACTGGAAGAGATTGATATTTGTGCCCACTCTAAAGAAAGGTAACCCAACAGAATGTGGAGATTATCTAACAATGTCATTAATATCACATGCAAGTAAAATTTTGCTGAAGATAATTCAAAAACAGTTGCAGCAGTGCATTGACAGGGAACTACCAGAAATTCAAATGGATTCAGAATAGATCACAGAACAAGGAATATTGTTGCTGATGTCAGATGGATCTTGGCTGAAAGCAAAGAATACCAGTGTTTTATTATCTCTGTGTTTTATTGAATATGCAAAGGCATTTGACTGTGTGGATCATAAGAAATTACGGATATACTGTGAAGAATGGGAATTCCAGAACACTCAGTTTTGCTCACCAGGAACCTGTACATAGACCAAGAGGCTGTCATATGAACAGAACAAGGGGATACTGCATGGCTTAAAATCAGGAAGGGAGTGTGTCAGCGTTATATTCTTTCACCTTACTTGTTCAATCTGTATGCTGAGCAAATAATCTGAGAAACTGGACTATAAACACAGCATCAGGATTGGGGGAAGACTCATTAACAATCTGCAATATGCAGATGGCACAACCTTGCTTGCTGAAAGTGAAGAGGACTTGAAGCACTTACTGATAAAGACTAAAGACTATGCTTTCAGTATGGATTACACCTCAAAATAAAGAAAACAAAAATCTTCACAAGTGGACCAATTAGCAACATCACAATCAATGGAGAAAAGACTGAAGTTGTCAGGGATTTCATTTTACTTAGATCCATAATCAATGCCCATAGAAGCAGCAATCAAGAAATAAGACATTATACTGCCCTGGGCAAATCTGCTAAAAGGAACCTTTATATAAACTGTTAAAGAAAAAACATGCCACTTTGAAGACTAAGGTGCACTTAAGTTACGATATTTTCAATCTCCTCAAAGGCATGTGAAAGCTGGACAATGACTACAGAAAAAATTAATGCCTTTGAATTGTGATATTGGCGAAGAATACTGAAAATACCATGGCCTGTCCTGGAAGAAGTGTGGCTAGGATGCTCCTTAGAAGAGAGAATGGCCAGACTTCATCTCACCTACTTTGGTCATGTTGCCAGAAGTGACCACTCCCTGGAGAAGGATATTAAGCTTGTAAAGTAGACGATCAGCAAAGGAGGGGAAGACACTGAACAAGATGGATTGTTGATATAGTGTCTGCAACCATGGCCTCAAGCAGAGCGAAGATTGGGAGGATGACACCGGACTGGGGGTTATTTCTTTCTGTTGTACATAGGGTGGCTATGAGTTGGAGCTGACTCAATGGCATCTAACAACAACAACATTTTTCCCACAGGGAGGTCCCACTGTCTTCCTTCTGCCCCCTAAATCTCCAGCCAGTCTTTAAATGTGCTCTCGGGTCATGGGGAGTGGTGGTGAACCTATGTAAGCTTCCAACAAATTCCAAGCTTAGTGACAATGGCTCCTTATCTGATCATGATTCTTTGTGCACTGTTCTCTCCAGGGCCTGACAGGTTGGGCTGCATTCCCAAGGCAACCCAGACCCCAATGGGTTCCCTCCTGGGACACCTGCTCCTTCGTGGGAGTGGAGTTCTGCCAGTAGGGGCTCCCTGCCTTTGAAAGCAAAGGCTCCTTCCCAGCCCCAACCCTGACCATCCAGTGCAGCCCAGTGCAGGGGTTTTATTACTTGGTCTGTGTTTGGTGTCCGAGAAATGTCATTCATGCTTCTGCTCTGGGTGTGACCTAGGAAACAAGGGAAAGAAGGCCCATCAGGGGAATCCAGGCTCTCATAGGGTCTTTTCTCTTGGCCTCTACATAGGCCTCTCCCATCTTCCTGACCAAAGCAAGCTACCCTCCCCCTGAACCTGCAGCCCCTTTGAGCTACCATCCTCTCCTTTCCTGCCCTTCAATGCCAACTTTCCTGACAGATGGGCCAGACTCCAGTTTATACTTCTTTCTCCTCACTCCCCAGTCTGCTGTAGTCTGCTGTTCTGCTCTCCTCCTCTGCCCAGTTTTCATGTCTCCTCCTCCCTGAACCTTCCTGGGTGGGGTCTGTGGGCTGGGCCACTGCAGTGAGGGGTACCTAGACTATAGCCCATTCCACTCAGCTGTAATTACTTATTCCCATGAAAAGAGAGACCGCCTGTTTTCTGCATTCGCAGCATTGAGCAGTGCTGGGCAGAGAGGCGACTTCAGAAACCATGAATAACAGCATGGAAGGCTCTTCCCAGACCCATGTTATGTTGCCACCTCCTGACTGTGGCTACCTAGATCTCCTACTTTGAAAAACCAAGGATAGGGAAGACCACATGATCCAGGTCATTAGGGCAAACCATGCGACCATGGGGTGGTGTCTGTCAGCATTTCATCTTAATGGTGATGGAGACTGCCATGATGCCCTGGAAGGGCTTCTATCTCTTGGGAGAAAGGACCTATCCTGCTTTTAATTCCATTTCTAAGAAGGCTTTTCACCAAAAATGAGAAAACTGATCTGTTTAATGGAAACAAAGGTATTGACTAAGATAAAAATGCCTAGAACATAGAATTGGGTATCGATTATACCAGGACTTGATTTAGAGTTGCATTTCTCACAGTCATTATTTAGAAGATTACGGTAGTAAATCTGGTCTTGAGGGCAGTTCAATTTCTGGGTGAAAGTTTGATTTCTCCTGATGCACATCCTGAAAATTTTAGACAAATTCTGGGCCTTATCTCCTTGACCACATCCATAAAAATATCTATATTTTTCCTGCTGCCACAGCCAGAAAGAGGTTGTCAGAACAAAGATACCCTTGCATAGACTCTGTCACTTGAAGCAGAGACCCTCATGCAGACTCCATCACTTAGAAAAGAGATGCCCTCACACAGGCTTCATCACTCGTGACTGATACACACTCACATAGACTGTCACTAACACGGATGACATACACAGACTCTGTCACTCAGGACAGAGACACACACATACTGCCCCACTTGGGGCAGATGACACCCTCATGCAGACGTAGGGGAGAGGGTATACTCACACAGACGTCCGTAGTTTGCACTTTCTCGTATCCTCAGGTCCTCGGTGGAACGGTGCAGACTTGTGCCAGCTGTGGGACTGCGGGCAGGGCTTCGATCTGGAAGGAGAAACAGAAAATACTTGTCTTGGGCATTTTTGCTGGTGTAGCACATCCTCTCTGGTCAGTCAGTTTAAGTTTATAATCATTTGAACTAAAGCTGGACTGGAAGGCACAACTCTTCCCTTTCCAGGAAGAAAAGGATTTTTTAATGCCTGCTTTGAGAAGTATGGTCTTTTAACCCTTTAAGACCAAATTATTTTCTGCTTTGATTTTTTTTTTTTGGTTGAAACCATGTGCTTTCAGTAATGAAAGGCATTTTGAAAGAAATAAAAAACCACTTTTTTTTTCAGTAATATGGATTTTTGGTACAATTAATGGGACTCGTATATCCTGAGGGGGTCTCCGGTGCTGATGCTGGTGGAATGAGATCCGTTTCTTCAGTTTCATGCAGTTGTACAAAACCCCACCAGATGGCAGCATGTACAAAAGTGGGATAGCAATTTCCCACTAAACTCCAAAGGTGGAATGTGTAGCTGGGCACTATCTGTTCCACGGGTCATGAAAGTTTTAAAAACTATATGAGATTAAAGTGACAACAGCAACTTGAAAGATTAGGTAGGAACCTTACAGGGCAGTAAGTTTACGTTAACGGGAAAAGAACAACTCAGAAAAGGACGGTGAGGAGGGTTGCAAAACTGGAAAATATTATCACTGTCATTGAATTGTAAGTGTAGAAATGGTTGAATTGTTGTATGTTTTGCTATGTATATTTTCAACATCAACCACAAAATAAAAGTGTTTTTTTTTTAAAGTAAATAAAGATTCTTAAAAAAAAAAAAGAAAGAAAGAAAGAAAGAAGGTTTGTCTTTTTTATTGGAAAGCAAGCTAATGCAGGCATACCTCAGAAATATTGCAGGTTCAGTTCCAGACCATTGTGATAAAGAGAATAATGCAATAAAGCAAATCACATGAATTTTTTGGTTTCCTAGTGCATGTAAGTTATGCTTGTACTGTAGTCTATTAAGTGTGCAGTGATATCCTGAAAAAGTTTGCAATATTATGAAAATTACCAAAATGTGACACAGAGACATGAAATGAGCACATGTTGTTGGAAAAATGGTGCCTATAGATTTGGTTGATACAGGTTTGCTACAAACTGTTAATTTGTAAAAAAAACAAAGAACAAAAAAACCACAGTATGTGAAGCCCAATGAAGAGAAGAGGAAAAAAATGAGGTATGCCTGTAGTCTGAACAAGATTACAGGGAAAATGTTTGTACTGTTGAAAGTGAGATAGACACATAATTGATTAAGTAGGCAGCAGGGTGCAGTAGACTGCCTGGGTCATCCTTCCTTCTACCACTTATTGGCTGTGTGATCTTAGGTAAGTTACTGAACCTTTCTGTGCCTCACGCTCATAAAATGGGCAAGATGGTAGCAGTACCTAACTCACAGGATTAGTGAGAAGATGAAGTGTGTTGCATATATACAGGACCCAGAACAGTGCCTGGCATGTAGGAAATGTTTTCTGTTTAAATGTCTACCTTCTGGTATTGTGATGCGTTAAACACTTCCCATTTTTAAACAGTTCATTTACTGTTTAAAGACACTCTTCAAGGTTCTTTACTTAGCAATTTTATCACTTTATTTTGGTTACTGTGTTTATTGGACAGGTTCAGCTAGTGTCCCTGGGCATCAGTGAGATACCGAGTGTGGAGGGTTAGTGTTGAGATGTGTATGTGGAATAATCTATTACTTAATGACCCAAGGCACTGCTAATCAGAATATGAAAGCCTTGGCACCCTTGACTCAGTCCCTTTGACCATTGTGATATGTGCCATTTTCTTTTCTCCAAGCTATATATATATAATTTTTGCAGTGCTTCCTCCCCTCCTCTCCCGCCCCTGGAAACCAACAAAGAAAGTTTCCTTCCATATATAAACTTTTCCTTGACTTTTAACAATAATGAACTAATGCAAATATTTGTCCTTCTGTGATTGACTTATTTCCCTCATGATAATGTCCTCCAAGTTCATCTACATTATGTGGTGTTTTGCAGATTCTATACTATTCTTTAGTGGTGCAGAGTATTCCATTTTGTGTATGTACCATAGTTTGGTTATACATCCTTCTGTTGATGGGCACCTAAGTTGTTTCCATCTTTTTGCTATTGTCAATAGTGCTGCGATGAACATGGGTGTGCATGTATCTGTGTGTGCTCTGGCTCTCACTTCTTTAGGATATATACCTAGTACTGGGATTTCTGGATCAAATGGTATTTCTAATTCCAACCTTTTAAGGATTCCCCACACTGCTTTCCACAGTGGTTGTATCATCTGACAGTCACACCAGCGGTGTATGAGAGTTCCAATCTCTCCATATCCTCACCAGCACTTATTATTTTCTGTCTTGTTGATCTTTGCTACTAGTGCTAGGGCAAGATGGCATCTCATTGTTTTGATTTGCATGTCTCTAATGGCTAATGATTGTGAACATTTCTTCCTGATCATTTGGCTTCCTGAATAACCTTTGGTGAAGTGTCTATACATGTTTTCTACTCATTTTAAAATTGGGTGATTTGTCTTTTTGTTGTTGAGGTGTTGAAGTTTTCTATAAATTTTAGAGATAAGTCCCTTGTCAGATATGTCATTGCCAAATATTTTTTCCCAATCTGTAGGTTCTCTTTCTACTCTTTTGGAGAAGCCTTTTGAAGCACATAAAAATTTAATTTTTAGAAGATCCCAATCATCCAGCTTATCTTCTGTTGTTTGTGCATTTTGGGTTATACTTGATAGTTCTATTTTATGGCATAAATTAGGGCCCCTAAATTTTCCCCTAGTTTTTCCTTGAGGAGCTTTATAGTTTTAGGTTTCACATTTAACTCTTTTATCCATCTAGAGTTAGTTTTTGTGTATGGTGTGAGGTGCAGATCTTGTTTCATTATTCTGCAAATGGATATCTGGTTTTGCCAGCACCATTTGTTAAACAGACCATCTCTTCCCCATTTAATGGATTTCAGCCCTTTGTCAAAGATCAGCTGACCATAGGTCGACAGATCTATTTATGGATTCTCAATTCTGTTCCACTGGTGTCTGTCATTGTACCAATACCAGGCAGTTTTGACTACTGGGGCTGATAGTAGGTTTTGAGATCCCACAATGTGAGATCTCCTACTTTGTTCTTCTTCTTTAGTAGTGCTTTGCTTATCTCTTTCCTTTCCATTTAAAATTAGTGGCTGGTTTTTTCATATCCTTGAAGAATGTTGATAGGATCTGGATTGGGATTGAATTGAATGTATAGATTGCTTTGGGTAGTACTGACATTTTGTCAATGTCTAATCTTCCTATCCATGAGCATGGTATGTTCTTTCATTTATGTAGATCTCTTATGGTTTCATGGAGTAGTGATTTGCAGTTTTCTTTGTACAGGTCTTTTGTGTCCCTGATAAGATTTATTCCCAAGTATTTTATTTTTTTGGTAGCTGTTATAAATGGTGTTGATTTCCTTTTCAGCAATCTCTTTGCTGATGTAGAGGAATCCAACTGATTTTTGTATGTTGATCTTGTATCCCGCCACTATGCTAAATCTCTCAATTAGTTCTAGTAGGTTTTTTTTTTTTTTTTCTGAGTCTCTTGGATTTTCTATTTATAGGATCATATCATCAGCAGATAGGGATAGTTAGATGTCTATAACATCAAGTTGGTGAATTGTACTGTTTAGTTTCTCTGCATCTTTGTTGAGTTTCTTTCCAGTTGTTCTATCTTTCATTGAAAGTGGTGTATTAAAGTCTCCTATGACTGTGAAAGGAGCTCTGGTGGTGTAGTGAATAAGGCACTTGACTGCTACCCAGAAGGTCAGTGGTTCAAACCTACCAGCTGCTCCATGGAAGGAAGATGGGGTTATCTACTTCCATAAAGATTTACAGCCTCAGAAACCCAATGGAGGTCACTAGGAGTTGGAAATGAGTCAATGGCAGTGAGTTTTTTTTTTTGTTTGTTTGTTTGTTTGTTTGTTTACTACGACTTTGGAGTCATTTATTTGTCTTTTCAATTCTATTAAAGTTTGATTTATGTATTTTGCAGCTCTTTCATTGGGTACATAGATACTTATTATGGTTATGTGTAGCATAGTGCCTAAGGCACTTGACTGCTAATCAGAAGAATCAAACCCACCAGCCACTCCTTGGAAGGAAGGTTGGGCAATCCTACTTC